TCGCCTACATCGTCCATATAGGACGACTCGGGAACTCAACTCCTACCCCGGGCAGCTCACCTATCCCCTTATGCCCAGGGGAAAGGTATCAAGCCGTTTGACAGCTGATGCTGGCTGTCAAACCGGCTTTTACGCAAAACAGGCGGGAGGCAGCAAACAGCTGCGACCAGCGAAATCGCCTGCCACCGGAAGTCCGCCACTACTATTATTTCTTATCTCAGGTGGCCTTTTCTGATAATTATTCTTCCTTGGTGATAGATAATTAAATGTGGAGATCTCTCTATTTCAAACTTTTAGGCCACTGAAATCAAAGCTATTCTCAGCAGTCTAGAGGGTATACATGTAGTCCTTGTTTCACGAATACGGTTGGGATCGGAACCTTCATTGCTAAGCAATATGGTTATTAAGTGAGTCATACCAGACGTTTTTGTACTAAGCAAATCACCATGTTCATTAAGCAAATTTGGCTTCGCCATTGATTTTGCTTGTCAGAAGCCCCTGGAAAGGTCACAAGTGACCCCAGGAGTCTGCAACCATTGTAAATACAAGCTGGTTGTCCAGTGCACAAATTGTGATTATGTGGCTGTGAGGCTGCCGCAACAGTCGTAAGTGCGAGAACTGGTCTTAAGTGACTTTTCTCAGAACCCTCATAACTTTGAACGATCATTTAACAAATGGGTTGTAAGTTGAGGACTACCTGCATAAGCAATAATTCCTAATCAGGTCAAAATCAACCCCAATGATCATGTAAAACCCTCCACAAAAACATTACTCACCTCCAGAATTTAAAAACAAAAGAAGAAAAAGGCAGAAAGCAGCAAGAAAACAAGATAGAAACAAACAGAAACTTTTTAAAAAGGCACTTTGAAATAATTCATTTTTTTCATGTTTTCCATAAAGTCAGCAAGAAAGGAACCAGCTTGATCCACATTGGGAAACTATTCCCAAACTCTGGTGCTACTGCACAAAGGCAGCCCCTTCTAGCTTCGGCCTCCTAAATCTCTAAAGCATGTAGAATTAGGAGTACTTTCTCCCTAGACCTTCTAATAGATTGAGCTAATAGTGGCTAAGACCTGTATACCAATCAGTAACGCACAACTGGCATACCAGCTAAAGCCGAGTATAGGCCCCTCTGGCCACTGCACCCTCAGGCTGATACCTCCTTTCCACTACCTCAGAGTGAAATTGCCTACTGAGCAAGGAATAGAACCTAACCCTGTAGACAATTAAATGGCTGCCAAGATCGATGGTATTAAAAACAAGTTCAGGCCATTCTTCCCATTCAGCCTAGAAATAGGTCACCCAAGAGAGACCAATATTGTCTCTGTTCCACATTGGACTTGAAAAATGTCTGAAAAAGTCTAAATAATTCACTATGTTTAGAGTGCTGTCAAGCTGGTCAGCCACCATTATCTTAACTGTCTGAGCCCCAATTGTTGGGTCATTCTCATATTTTGCAACAGTACTTTCAGAGGTCCACCAGCAGAAACACACCCAGAAAAAAAAGTATGAAGGAAGATGCATGCAAAATAGGCTGACCTGTAGAAAAGGATATTGACAGGGATGGTACTGATATGCCAGATGGCATGGGCATCAAAGACCCAAAACAGGGGTGGGAAATCCAGGAGTTCCAGGAGAGCCAAGGCTTGGAGAAGCAGGACAACTGCCACACACTTCCAGACATAGGGCAGGCGTTGCTGGTTCCGCATACACCAACCCAGCCACCAGAAGAGATTGAGAAGGCCTGCAAAGAACAGAACAACACTTCATGTTAATATCACTTTTACTACTCATTAATCACAGCACAAAGAAGCAGCTTTTGCTTCAGATACTGAAGATTCCAGAACCACCAGAACCCTGATTGCATTGCTCCCCCCTCAGCACTAAATGCTGAGATCATCCAAAGTATGCATCCCATTTGTCCATAGCAGAAAGAGAACAGAGAGGACTTAAAAAAAAAGAAACAGAAAAAAGAGAACAAGATTCTTTGGGAAAAGACAAACAGGAGAGAAAAAAGTCTCATAAAGCAGTAAGAATATTCAACATTTAGAAAAGAAACACTGAAACAAATTAGCTAAAACTATTTTACAGATAAAATAAAAATATTGATTCCTTGGGTCTCACCAATTGCCACATTGGCAGCCATATTGTAACCATAATCAAAGTGCACAAGGGTCAAATAGGAAACATGGCAGGCCAGGAAAAGGAGCAGGAAACCCCCAAAGGCAGTGGCAAAAGCCGGACGTTTCAGCCCTAAAGTTCTGCAAGTAAAACACACATGAAGTTAAAGATATTTCAAAGAACTGCCTAGACCATTTTCTATCCCTAGTTTTGACTAAACAGAAAAAGAGATATTTTTCTCAATAAATACAGAATATTTACAGCTATAGAAGAAAATTCCACATTAATTCAAGTAAGGAATTGTATTCTAGCCTTTGACAACTTTCCATCCCCCAAATGCCACCATCCTCCCCTTTTTCCTTCAGGAAAGGGGGGCAATTTTTTTCCTAACTAATCCTTAAAAGTTGGAGATTTGGGGGTAGCTATTTATGGAAGCCTTTTGGGAAATTGATATAAGGAGTTATTGTAGAGATCAGAAATTGTCATGGCTGTAACCCTATGTTTTTTTTAAGAAAGCCACTGTCTACTCCAGCGAGCCTTGGTGCAGATTTATTAAGAAGATAACTATCCAGTTAGGGATTTCTGTATTTTGTTAAGTTACTCCTCAAATACTGGATTGATTGATTAATGTTCTTAGACTGAAGAAAACAAGCCACTCGGTCTGGACTGGAATAGGAAACAAGTTGCAATAAATAAACTATGACTAGAGGTTGCTTATTTATTGCATATAAATATACGGGCTTTCATTAAAAAACATTTATTATCATGTCTCATCATTTCCTACAGATAGCATGTATGCTATGGTAAAGTATTGTTAAGAGGCTGTCTTGAACAGATAAATTACATTTTTCCTTCTCTAAATTCTTTTCTTTTACCAAACTGACCCCCTTCAAATACTTTGGAACTTCCTCTTCCAAGAACTCTAGTCAACATAGACAGAGACTGTTAGGAGTATATGATTAAGTGTATGGGGAGATGTGCTCCCAACATACCAAAAGGGCATCAACTTGGGAAGGATGCTGTAGAGAACAGAAGGGAAATTCAGGATTGGACGTAACAAAATATATGACCTACACCAGTTGAACTAATTTTTACATTAATTAATCATATTATTACTTTCCATGTAATAAGACATCTTAAAATGACAGAGAGAGATTTTAATCAAATAACTGTAATGAAAATGATGACAAAACCACTGAAAGATTAGGTGAACTTTGGTCTTATGTGGCAACTTACCTGACACAACACAAGTACACAGAGTAAAGGATGACTGCTGATGCACAGAAATAGTCCATTTTCTATGAGAAGAGAAACTGAATTAGAGATGTGGGCCAGATCTTGTCCAATGTATATGCCATCTGAAAAACATTTCCATGATATCACAATAAAAAAGCTTACCTCAGTTAGATTTGTTTCTCGGGTATGAAAAATCATGGACCAGAGCCAGGCATTTAAAGACACCTGAAGGAAAAGTGCAACAAAGAATTAATCTGAGCATACCACCTTCTATGACAAGATTCAGTCAACAAACCTGCAGTTGAGACACAGAGGAAATGTATGAAATAGCCCACTCTTTTAAGTACCTATGTGACTATCAAATGGTATTTAATTATATCAGTGGTGTCCAACCTTGGCAACTTTATGGCTTGTGAACTTCATCTCCAGAATTCCCCAGCCAGCATTGAAGTCTGCAAGTCTTAAAGTTGCCAAGGTTGGACATTCCTGGATTACATCAACAAGCCTGAATTGATCAAAAAATGAAGACAACTCGGAAGGAAACCTGATCCTCAAAACCCTATTTCTTCCTTGCCCACCCACTAATGTTTGGAAAGGAGTTTAAAAAACTGAGTGTCTTCTTGTCCAAATTTCTTTTTTCTATTTAGCTTGTTCAGAGAGCTTAGGCTCTCTGAATCTCAGCTTCTCACACAAAATTAAATGATAATAAAACTGACTGTCAAATATACTGAATGAAAATAGATATAACTAGTTTGAAATGGGGCACAAAGGGAGCCTCTAAAGGCCAAAGATTGTCCATTCTTGTCGTGAGATCTCCTAGATCGTTGGGACTATGATGTCTCAAACCTCTGAAGAGGTTGGGACAGTATTTAGGGAAAAAAGGCTGAGGATTGTTTACTCTATGTGATAAACCTAAAAAAGATCCCATATGCTTTCTTTCACCCATCACTCTGATTGGTCTAGCACAGTGTTTCTCAACCTTGACAATTTTAAGGCATGTGGACTTCAACTCCCAGAATTCCACAGCCAGCATTGCTGGCTGTGGAATTCTGGGAGTTGAAGTCCACATGCCTTAAAATTGTCAAGGTTGAGAAACACTGGTCTAGCAGCACAATTTCTAGAACCTCTGAGAGTGTTACAGATTACAAGTTTAATCATAGGGTTGGAAGACATATTCATGTCAAATATTCATGAATATTGTCTAAAATATTATCATTTTCAACTATTGATAGAATGCCTTGAATTTGTCCCTCATAGTAGACATCCTCTTTCTTATTTCCTTCAAATGGCATTTCTTAAAATAATTTCCTTTCTTTTAGCTTGTCTTAAAACTATAAGAAGCCTCCTTTTGCAAATTGCATGCATCATGCTACGCCACAAGCATGACCACCATAATTTGTGAGATCAATATCCCAGGAAGTAAAAGACCTTCCATGGGGATCTTTTTTGTTTTATTCCCACCCAAAAAAAAATGTGAGAAAGCATGGACTGGGATTTTGCGAATGGCAAAAAATTGCCCCATACATCAGGATGGATTTGAACCCAGATCTTTCCAGTTATGCTATATTGTTATGTTCAAGTGTATTATGGTCATCTTTTCCAACAACTTGACCCCTATACACACTGTCTCCCAGTAGGCACAGCCCTAAAAGTTCTCCAAATTTCTACCCAAACTTTTTGTAATAAAAAGAAAGAAGAGTGTTGGAAAATAGCACATTTAATTTTAATTACATTGAAATTGAGCCAAATCATATTAAATGTGGATTTTTTCTGGTTTCACGCCTTACTTTTTGGACTATCCCCTTCTAGACTCAACAATGGCCATGTGCAACCATTAGCTCAGAATGCTATAAACTTCTGCACTAAACTGTATTTACAGATCATGATGGCTGGACTCAGCCAAAATTTTAACTCAAACAAGTCACAAGATGGTTTAGGATGTTATGTGAGCCCAGATTTCTTGTACAATAATTTTCTTTCACCTAGTAAAGAAGATAAGGAAGCTGGGATTCTTGTTAAAAATGACTTACCCAAGAAAAGGCAATGCAGGTATGGTACATAGGAGAAGAACGGGGAACAGTGGCTTTATATCTGTTCAGCATCATCAAATTGGCAAGACCATTAAGGAATGAAGCAAAGGCAGAAGCAGGCTCCTGAAAAAACAGGAAACGAGAAAAGGGCCACTATGGGGGAGGCAGGGAGAGGAAAGAGGAGAAGATGATAAAGAATGTTATCAAATGGAAATGAGATTATCTGCACATTTTCCTATGACTGCTTAAACCAAATCCTAAAGTAGGCGGAGAAGAGAAACTGCAGTTCAATGTTGTTGTTTTTTCCAAATGCCCCCAAAATAACTGAGATCTTCTGCCTTTTTCTTTTGCCCAAGGACTACTTCATTTGAAATTGCATAGCTAATTTCTGAAATAAGTAAATTCTTGGGCCCTAGGTATGGGTGCTGACTTTAAAAGAAGTGAGCTGTGTTTATCTCTCTTCTTCACCTATTACATTCCCAATCCAGAGCAAACAACTGGGTAAATAACAGAAACCTCTCTTGAAATGCAGTTTCAGGCAGTGATTTGGGAAGAGAAAAAATTCTCACTCTTGACCCCGATAAGAGTAAATGAAAGATCTTCAAATTTTAAAATTGTAAGAGGAATTAATTGTAAGAGGAAGTAGCTGCAAGAGGAAATAGCTTAAAGGTAAAACAAAACAAACAAAAACAGGAAAGACAAAACTAAAAAGGAACTGAATAACAGGAAAACTAAAGCTAACTGAATAACAAGAAAGAACCTATTGTTCTAAGAATCCATAAAATAATTAAGAATTCGAAAACAAGTTAAAAGAGCATACTCAATAGACTACTGAATATTATCTGACACACCTTGCATATATTGTCTGCTCATTTAAATGCACATGCAATGTATGATTTAGTATGTTTGGGGAGGGTAGCAGGAAATATGTAGAAGGCAGGTGGAGAGAATGTAACCTCATAGTACCTCAGCCAATGGGGAACGAGGAGGGATAGGCGGTCGGAGTAGGGAATGTATAAAGATGTTGATTTGAGATGATGAACTTTGGAGAGAACCAAGCTTTGATAACGTCTCCTCACATTGCCTCTGGTTGCAAAGGAAAGTGTCCAGGAGCACATAACAACCCCAATGATCTGAAAACTGCTGAAGCTCTCTTTAGGCTGACATGTATTCTGTGCACATTGTGATTGCCAAGAAATAGTTGCAATTACTTCACCAATTTATCCTTTTTTCAGTGCTTAAAGGCTGGAAATATGGAAAGGGCTGATACAGACTACAGAAAAAATTGGCAGAGTCTCACCTTTTTGCTTGCTCTAGTTTCTCTTATTAGTGTACCAAAAGGAAACATTTCCCTGCTGTCTGGCATATGCTGATTTTGCTTGCTCAAAACCTCAGAGTCAAGGCCTGGATCTAGTAAAGGCTCTACTGAAAAAAAGCCTACTGCCATCCCAAGTAGATAATATTAATATTAATATTAATAAAGTTGGAAGGGACCTTGGAGATCATCAAGTCCAACCCCCTGCTCAGGCAGGTAACCCTATACCATTTCGGACAAATGGCTGTCCAGTCTCTTCTTAAAAACTTCCAGTGTTGGAGCATTCACCGCTTCTGGAGGCAGGTTGTTCCACTGGTTAATTGTTCTGTCAGGAAGTTTCTTCTTAGTTCTAGGTTGCTTCTCTCCTTGATTAGTTTCCATCCCTTGCTTCCTGTCCTGCCTCAGGCGCTTTGGAGAATAGCTTGACTCCCTCTTCTTTGTGGCAGCCCTTGAGATATTGGAAGACTGCTATCATGTCCCCCTTCGTCCTTCTCTTCGTTAAACTAAACATACCCAATTCCAGCAACCGTTCCTTATATGTTTTAGCCTCCAGTCCCCTAATCATCTTTGTTGCTCTTCTCTGTACTCTTTCTAGAGTCTCAACATCTTTTTTACATCGTGGTGACCAAAACTGGATGCAGTATTCCAAGTGTGGCCTTACCAAGGCATTGTAAAGTGGTATTAATACTTCACGTGATCTTGATTC